AAGAAAACGGATTCAGGGGATTCTCGTGTATCAAAACGTTCATTATTCCACAAAAACTTAAAAAAACCCCACGAGTTATTAACCGACCTTTACAATGAACAGTCACGTACGCATGTAAAAAATGCAGTCCAATTGCGGGAGCCACATGGGAGCAATCACCCGCTATCGGGAAACGAGCCTCAACTCCGCCTGCCTCGTCTGGAGAGACTTCTGAGTTGAGCGCACGTGGCAGGGACACATGCGACTTGGGAGCAAACGCAACATATTTGCAGTCAGAAAAGGACTAAAAATGTACGTAGGACAAAGGGAAGTTGGACGAAGGACCATGCTTGAAATACTCCAACTACGCGTTGGCCAAACATGCCCATGTAGGATCAGAGAGCTTGGGCAATTGTTGGCGCCGGTTCTGGCTGCCTTCCCACCAGAACTGTATCTTTCACTCTGAAAAAATAATAATAAACTGTGCACGTTACAAATGTTAAAATTATTACCAGGCAAAAATGAGAAAGCTACACTGAACAGAACAAGTTGGATATGAAAAGGTTTTTTTTTCCTTAAACCTGTAGACATCCTTGCCTCTGGGGTGCGTTCACACTCCCTGGCAGAAAAATTGGGATACCGCTGATTTGATTGGGGTCAATTATTCCTGTCTAATCTCATTAGATTCCATTACGAAAAGGCAGAAAGGAACGCGTGCCTTAGCGGGGAATTCTTTTGCGAGTAATTGACTTAATTGCCCTTCCAAATTCGGCGGTGCTGGTGATTAAGATTAAATTGTAATTGTGAAGGTCCCGTGACGCCTTTGGTCCACAGCATCCGATGGCTTAAATCTCATTTGTCCGCATTCTTTCAGAAATTAACTGCAATTGTTACATTGAAAATATTGTGCTTTTTTACCATTTGGTTCTGACAGAGGCTATGTAGAATGCAATCTTCCGGGAATGTGTACGACATTCATGAAGGTCAGTGCCTCCTCAATGGATACATTTTCCCTGATCCAAGTCAGTTTTTAGAAGGAAATTATTTTTTAAATGGCCCATGTCAGCATATTCATGTGGTCATGCAAATTGCAGTGAAATGACATTCAGTGCTGGAAAGTAAAAAAAGTTAGCATTTCAACTTTAACATTTTGGGAATAAAGATTAATTTTGAATCTATACACGTACTCAATGGAGCAAACCTACAACAACACCGACAGCAGCAGCAACCAAGGTCAATCGACTGCCGGATGAAAGCCTACCAAGCCGTTTGCAACCTCCTATGATCCCGCGATGCAACAATCCAGCCAACTGTTGTGCACTAATCTAAACGTTTTGTTTCACCAGGTAAGGCCCATTGAGCTATGTAGCTCGTTTTCAGAAGCGACGTGGACCACAAATGATAGCTCAACGAAGTGGCTTATCACGTGGACATTTAAAGCAGCGATATACTCCAAATGCATCTTTCTAAAGCGCTCCTAGAGGCCGTGCTGTGGCTGGCTGATGGGATGCGCGTGTTTATAAATGCCGAGTGAAACTCCGGAGGACACGGAGGAGGAGGATCCATGCAACCACGGGGAGAACAAGCAAATTCCAAATACACAGGCATCAGGGTCGAGATTGAACCCACGACCTCCTGCATACCAGGCAAGGTAGTGGACATCTCGCCATTAACTTATTTCACCGCTCCATCTCTATGGCAGAGACCGTCTTGGACGCGTTGCGTTCCTTGGCTCCCACTCCATCGTTGTTCTTGACTGTCGGACCCAAGCCCCGCTCACTCTTCCTCACAGTCAATGCGATGTCTGATTTACGTTTCTTTCCAGATCTGCGTGTTCCCCTTTCTGTCTCTCGATGTAATTCCAAGCAATGTAACCCTCCCCAAAAACATCCCTTCCAAAACCATTGCTCTTACTACACAGGGGAAAAAATAATGAGTACAAGTCAGCTCCGTTTATCCGCACGGCTTGGCATGCGATTGACGGCGCGCACTTGAGCAAAATATTCCGTCATCCATCCCTCGCGCTGGCAAACATTATGCGATGCCTGTGCTTAATGAGCACAGGCCCAAAGGGCCAACACACCAAGTTACCAGACACAAACAGCACTCCTGTTGGGGGTACTGGTGGTGCACTAGATAGGAGACTTATAAAGACGTTCCTGGAATTGAGCAACGTTATGTCAGGACTTGGGAAAATAGGCGATGGGAGGGAATTCCAAGATGGAACAGTGCGAGGAAAGGAGCAGAAAGGGAAGCGTTGTGACCTGCAGTGTGGTGAAGTGAGTGGATGGGTTAGTGGGTGGGTGAGTGAGTTAGTAGGTGAGTGAGAGTGAGTGTGTTGTTGTGACCTACAGTGTGGTGAAGTGAGTGGGTGGGTGAGTGGGTGGGTGAGTGAGTGAGTTAGTAGGTGAGTGAGAGTGAGTGTGTTGTTGTGACCTGCAGTGTGGTGGGTGAGTGGGTGGGTGAGTGGGTGGGTGAGTGAGTGAGTGAGTTAGTAGGTGCGTGAGAGTGAGTGTGTTGTTGTGACCTGCAGTGTGGTGAAGTGAGTGGGTGGGTGAGTGGGTGGGTGAGTGAGTTAGTAGGTGAGTGAGAGTGAGTGTGTTGTTGTGACCTGCAGTGTGTTGAAGTGAGTGGGTGGGTGAGTGGGTGGGTGAGTGAGTTAGTAGGTGAGTGAGAGTGAGTGTGTTGTTGTGACCTGCAGTGTGGTGAGTGAGTGAGTGGGTGAATCAGTTAGTTGGTGGGTGGGTGAGTGAGTAACTGAGTGAGTGACTGAGTGAGTGGGTGAGCGAGTTAGTGGGTGGGTGAATGACTGAGTGGGTGAGTGAGTTAGTGACTGAGTGGGTGAGTGAGTGAGTGGGCGAGTGGCTGAGAGTCTGTTGTTGTGACCTTGCAGCACGGTGGTTGAACACTGTGTGGATGCGACGAAACATTCAGTCCGGTAGGCTGAGCCCACAACATCGGTGGGCGGAATCAGTGAGCGATGTGCACGGGAACAGTATTAACCGTCGCGGTAGTTGTGATCGAAGAGTGACAAGGAGGGTGACTGACTGGGGCGGTGAGCGGGCGCAGGGCCGCCGATCAAAAAACGATCGTCGGCACGCTTCGATTTTGAGACGGAGCACGGCCGACGACGTTGACGAACGTGCGTCATCGCAGAAGTACGATCCCCCCCCTCCCATCCCCCGCTGCGCCGCAAACCTCGAGAGAGAGAGAGAGGGGGGGGGGTGGAACGGCCGCCGTGGCGGAGCGCAAAAACGACCTCCGCGTCGCAGGCCGGAGAAGCGTCGCGCCGGCAGAGGCGGCGACGCGCAGCTGCAGGGAGTGAGCTCATCGCCATTGGTCCGGAGACACGGAATCATTGCTGCTGAACCGGGCAAAATCCGGGTAAACATGTTTACGTAGAAGAAGCCATTCCCCACCCACCTCCCCCCCCCTCTGGAAGCTGCGTTCGAGTAGCAGAGCGGAGCGGTTAGCGCAGTGGTTAGCTCACCTCGCTTATTTCGAACCTGGTCATGGAGTGCGGAATTCGTCAGTACCCGCGTGGCCATTGTCAACGATTCGTGTCGCAGTGCGTCGTGCGGTTCTTGCTTTGGAGTGGCGGTGGCGTAGTGGTCAGTGCACTGCGCTATGAACCGAACGCCTTAGTTCTGCTCACAGCCTGCCCTTGTACGCACGTGTGTATGTTAAACTCCTCTCGCGCCGTACGTAGCCATCCGCGTGTTATCTCTTACCTATCACAACACAGTAAGTGCCGTTTGTTGCTGGCCGTTTGCCGTTTTGGGGCCTTAGCAACCGTGAGCAATAAAAAAAAAAACCGAAAACGTCAAGGAGTAAACAATGACGGTTAATTAAATGTAAAAAGACATACACACACACACATATATAGAACTTGTAACGATGCTCACGAAGCTATCGTTGCAACGCCGAGAAGAGGTCAAGGGGTCGAACGGTCAGACGTGCGACCTTCCCCTCTCCCCTCCACCCTCCCCCACGTGCTGCTGATCGCGTCGCCGTGCGAGCGTGTTTAAGATTCCTGCCGTGGTCACAGGTGCAGGACTCGGATGGCACAGCTGTCACCAATCAGCACTAACGAAGCTCGCCGCATGCAACGCAGGGGAAGGAGGAGGGGAGGGGGGCATTTCCTTTTCCCTCCTCCCCACAACGTTTTCTTCCCCAACCTCCTACCCCCCACCCGACACCCGCTTTGTTGGGGTTTTGGAGTGAAGCTAACCCACAACCGTCCCCCGAGGGAGCGAGCGGGGACCCCCAAACCAAACACGCGTGCCCCCAGGGCTCCCCGAACGAGTGCCGTGATGCGGTGCCTCTGGGCTTTGTTAGCACCGCGACTGTTGCCAGACAAAATAAATGCGGCACCCGGATAGAAATAAAACCACGGTAAACCTTGGCTCAAAGCTTTCGTGACTGCAGGAATTCAAACTCTTTGGGTCTTTCGGTAAAGTCACGTAGATAGAAAAATAATAATAAAAAATCACGATGTTTTGATCGCAGCACGAGCAATCGTCTTCAGGTGAAAAAAGTACAGCAGGCGGACTGCTGAGGCAGGAAGAAATATAGCGAGAGAGCTACTGCAGCCAGCGGCTGTATAGGTTTGAGATGGGTACAACGGTAATTCAATTAAAATAAAAAGTCGAAAAATGCTACAAGGTGTCAAGAAAGCATGAATAATAATAGTTAAAAAGTCCAAATCGTTTCCTGGTGAAAAGAGCATTTTTACAACTCTGAGCCAGGGGTCAACATTTCACACTGCTATGAGGGTGGATGAGTCTCTCTCCATGACAGACAATGTGGACTCCCCCACGAAATGGTAGTCATTTTAGGGACCTTCGGATAGATGATTTTCTGAGTAGTCAATCGCCCCAGCAGGATTTGAACTCTGAACCTTGCAATTTGCGAGCCGCCCTCGCTCAACGGCTCAGCCACCTGACCGGTTACAAGCTGGTGACCATGGCAACGATAGTAGGCCGTGTTAGCAGAGGGCGTTAGCGAGGGCCCTTCCTTACCGGTGTGGCTGCGGATGTGCACACGCAGAGTCCCGTTGCTCGCAAACTTCTGCCCGCAGTACGGACAAATCTTCTCCTTCTCTCCCGTGTGCGTCTGGTGGAAGTAAAACAAACATCAGGAATGGTGCAACGTTCTGAGGGTAACATAATAGAACATTGTCCTCATTTACGGCCTGAAGACAGCCGTGCTCACGCACACTTCGGTCATCATCATCATCATCGCAGCGGCGGCTTTTGGCTAACCATCGAACAAAGATGGTCACCTCATCGCGCGCTTTCATACACGCTTCTGTGGCCTTCGGGAATGCTCTTCCTTCTAATATTAGGAAGCCAATGGAGTTGTACGCTTTTAAATCTAGAAGATAACGAATTTCTTTTGAACTGCTTTTTTGTGATTAGTTTGTTTGTTTGGCTACATACGGTGCTTAAGAAGTTCAACAGACATAATTGAAACAATCGGCTTCCTTTTAAAAACTAAACTATTTTTTTTTTATTTTACCCCGTATGGCCCGCTGAGCTAGATAGTTCTTTTTCAGAAACGACCTGGCCACAAATGATGTCTCAAAAGAAGTGGCTCATCATCACGTGGACATTTATAGCAGCCAAATGCTCTAAACGATCAAGGTCAGTCGCTCCCTCCACAAGATACCCACTGTTGCCTTCCCACGAAATTGTAATGATTTTATTGGCTCCGAGAGATGGGCTAAGTTGAGTTGACCCGGTAGTCACGCGCAAACGTTTAGGGTCTTTTGAATTTTTGCTGAAATTAAATGAACATTTGGTATTTCGTGCTGTATTCGTGGAGCGGACGAGTGGAACAGAGTTGATTTATTTTCCATGGCAAAAAAGCCTCACATTGCTTAATCACCGATGCTGAGCAGTCGCAGAGGATTGTTAAACTAGGGATTAAAGCTTTAGTTCAATCACCCATAGATTATTAGCGAAAATGACTGATAATTAGTTCAATTCCTACAAGATTAGCATTAAATGCACTATCAGGCTAATAACTCGTGATTCGCTCAATTTCCTTGTGTTTCACGATTAAGTAGCAGCTTGCTATGAAACAAAAAAAATAATTGTCTCTATTGCCACACCGCAGGTGTAGTCCAACGCTTTGGCCATTGGAGAATAGTTCCAGCCACGCAAAGTCAATAGGAAAATGGCCTAACTACCAAGGGATCTAACCGTCATTGACTTGGCTTTGATCCACTCGTGAATTTAAATCCTTTACATTTCACCAACTTTTTTCCAGCTCGCTCTTTAGCTCACTCTCAGTCCATGATACATTCACCAATGCTTTACCATCAATAATTTCTCTCGACTCGTATGTCACCGTTCGTTGAATTAATGTGCAGTATATTCATCGCCATGCCATGCTCAACCCGCTGCTGGATGAAGGCCGCCGCCATCTCTCACAATCCTGCGATGGAACAATCCAACCAGCACCTGCACGCAAGCCGATTTCATTGCTCCATCTCCACGGATGTGCTCGACCTTCGGATGGCATTCCACTCCCTGGCCACCAATTGAATTATTCTCGACCAATCCGTAAAAGTCTTAAAAGTGTTGTTTTTGTTTGATCCACCGGCTGACTTTAAGCTCATTAACATTTTACAATGAGCTCACCAATTGTCCATCAACGTGCACCGTTACCAAGCGTGGAAAATCGGTTCCACACTGACCCCGACGCTGCAGACAGACCCCCGCGCAGTTTCTCACTGACAACTTTTTGCGAGTGAATCAAAGGCAAGATTCATTGAGCGAGTTTCAATGACGAGAATGAACGACGCGTCATTTACATTCAAGTGATGCCAGCTGGCCAAAGCGGTGGAGCCGCGAGGATATTGGGCATGCATGAAAGGAACTTAGGGGCGGTGATTGATATATGTATAGTAATCAAAACCCACAGTCTCCACCAATCCACACCTCATTCTCTTCTCTCTCTCTTATCTATGCATCTTGCTTGTTCCTTCATTGCTGCACTGTGTATTCTACACTCATTGCAATTGCTGCGTGCGAGCGTCCGTGCCAATCGGTATATTGTTTCCTCCGCCAACTTTATTGCTGAGCGTCCATATCAGTCAACTGCCGAAGATGTCTGTCCGATTTAGGAATGCGGTGCAGCACAGTTTGACTCTGTGCAAGCGATTGCCCAGATAATGTTTTGTCTGTCTCTGGATTGAGTGTGTGTGTCAGCACAAGAACGCTGGCTGGGTTCCAGGTGGACACCAACACACTTGATGAGTTGCGTTTCCATTGGACAGCCATCATCAGCAGCAGCATTTATTATTTATCCCGCATCTCCCATGCGATGCAACTCAAGGGGCCAACTCGGCTTGGCTGGTGTTGGGCTGAGATCGTCCGACTTGGCCGAATTTCTCCCAGGACTCGAGTTGAAGGGCAAATGAAGTTGGATATAAAAAAGTAGCGTTTCCATGATTTGTCAAGTTATGCGCGTTTCCATGTTAGTTGGTCCCAATTTCGAAAAATTACACACAAATTGCGAAAAAATGATTTACTCTATTGGGATTAGATGCACGGCCATCGCCCCCCTACTGTGTAAGCTTGGCAGGACCCTCCTGAGAGAGAGTCTTGAGACTCGGTGAGGCTTTTCTGGACAAACTAGTGTAGTAATAATAAGAAAGGTCTCTCCGAGTTAGACCTTCCCAGAAATACTTGCGAGTGAACGGTCGAGAGCGCGCATTAGCGACAATATTAAACATTCATTGTTGAATTCAATGTGATGATGAATGTTCCCGCTGCCTACGGCATGTTTTATTGTGACGGGCATTTGTTGTTGTTGCCCTGGAGACCGGGAGATCGATGACCAATCGGTGTTCGGTGTTCGGTTGCTGTGTTGACAGCATTCATCGTGATTTCTCACTTAACAGAGTAGGTCACCTGAAAGCTGCCATCTTCCACTCCATTAACATATATATAAACAACGCAACGCCCTAGCCACAAATATGAAGGAGATATTACAGCGATAGACACTCAGCTGCTCCCTGCGCAGTCATCTGGCTTGACCACCTGAATGTGAAGTTTAATTGTTGATCTGCATCTACATCAGCCATACGAAAGAAGAAGATTGTGACGGGTGTGCTGATGTATTCCTCTCAGCCTGAACATTAACACGGGGAACTCGAGGTGACAAAACATGTGGAAACTCACTCCAGGGATGGCAATTCAAGTTTAAACTCGGAATATCAACAGGCTGATGGGCACATCTCCCTCATGAATGGAAAATTAAAGACAAGCCAGAGCAGTGCGATTGTGGCCATGGAACCTAAACTATGGAGTGTATAGTAATGACTGTGGTCTGCGCTCTTTCAACGGAGGAATAGTAAAACTCATCGGACTCTGTCCTGAAGCCCTCTCGTCCGGTCGTGCCTAGCAGCTGACCTCGACATTGGCTTTTAGCTCCAGGATATATTGGCATCGTACGCAAGAAAATAATGGGGCTCATTGATAATGATAACGATGAGTATTACAGCGGAGCTTGGTTAAATGCCTCACTTTACATATCCTCTCAAGCAATGCATTGCCCTGCTGCAGCCTAGACAAGGGGACCCCCGAAGGGAGCCGTCTCTGTCCAACACGAAGTGAAAACACAGCACTGTGACCATGGGGTGCCTCGGTGGCGAGATGTTAACTAGCTCGCCTGATATACAGGAGGTCATGGGTTCGATCCCGACCCTGACGATGTCGGCATATTAGGCGTTTGCATGTTATGCCCGCAGACTTTTCTCACTGTTCCTCCGGTTTTCTCTCCACATTTAGAAACGTGCGTTTAGAGTGTTTGGCTGCTATAAATTTCCACACGATAAGGCACTTTTTTAGTTATCCTTTGTGGCCAGGTCGCTTCTGAAAAAGCTATACAGCTCAGTGGGTCTCACCTGGTATAATAAAAACAAAAAATATAATTTTAGTTCATTAGCCTGCTAGTAGTGGGCGCAATTGCTATGTGGCAATTTGAAAGACTTGCTTAACTGAGATTGCCAGATTGAAAACTAATTTCTTTAGAACTGCTTTTTGTGTTTAGTTTGTTGTCCTTCCCCCGCACCTCCGATTAGCACGGTTGGCTACGTACGGTGCGAAAGAAGTTCAACATACAGACAGACAGACATACAATCTGCGAGTTCAGCAACCCATCCAATTGGGCGAATGTGGACCGTGACTGGCCTACTCCTCTTTGTCGAATAACGCCCGCGGCATCTTTAACGTCCGCTGCGAAGCGGAGGAGAGCCGCGGGCGGGGGAGGGGTGGGAGGGGGTGGGGGTCGTCCGTCGCCGCTGCGATCGTGGGAACGGCACCTTCTTGTGGCTCTTGAGCACGGAGGGCGTGACGAAGGCCTTGTCGCACAGGTCGCACTTGTACTTCTTGTGGCCGTCGTGCACCACCTGGATGTGCACGTTGAGCGTGTCCTTGCGCTTGAACGTGGCGTCGCACTGCTCGCACTTGAACGTCCGTTCGTCTGCAGCGCGGGAGGACAAAGACAAAGGAAAAGATCCCCCGACGGCACGCGACTGGTGTTTGGAGAACGAACCCGCAGCCAGAAACGGTTGGATTGTCCTCAAAAGCTTGCACGGTCCGACCGAAAAATCAAATAACGAATCGCAATATTGGTCGCGAAAGTCTACGCGTTTAGTTTATTCGCCGAGGTGCAGAATGGCCGAAATGCAATGGAAGGCCTAATAGGTGGGACGATGCTTCACGTGTTTTGTGAGAAAAAAAATACCACAGCGGAAAAACAATGACAAAGATCGCCCCCCTCTTGCCATGCAGGTGTTTTTAATAACATATCATCGGCAGCAATTTGTCTCAAGGAAAGCGCAGAGATGGGAGTTCGCTGCAGAGAAGCTGTGTTCTTGGTGGCTGGAGCAACGAAACGTGGAACTTCACGGGCGAAGTTTCCGTGTTCCATTTCACTGCCGCCTTCGCGCTCAGCCGAAACGCTTTAGCGAGCACATTTGCAACATCGCGAGCCTCGCCGTGCCCCGCAGGCACGCGCTCCGATTAGCACGGTTGGCTACGCACGGTGCGAAAGGGGGTTCAACGTAGGTGCGCGCCGAGACCACGCGAGGCCCTTGCGCGCGATCGACGTTGCGCCACGCGGCCGCCTGGCTTGCCGTGCCCAAGCGGCGGCGCGCGGCTCGCGACCGCGCTTCCCCCGTGACCCGATGGAGGGGGTCGGCGATGCTGCGAAGTTCGCAAATCGTGCCCCTTTCAAGTCGGCCGAGACCGCGCGCGACCGCAGGGACAGCGGTTGCTTGGGACCGTCGCCCACAATTCCACCCTTGGCGGCAGCGGGTTTGAATCTCGGGACAATGCTGCTGTGTGTCCGGCGTCGCATTTTTTGAGCGCGCGGTTATGCGCGTCACCTCTGAGTCATGCACTGAAGACCGGCACAGTCGCGAAATGAAGACTTGCTTTTTATATTAATTCCATTTGACGTGTTTTACGTAAGGATTGTACGCAGCTCAATAAATACAATGTGGTTTTATGCATAGCGTCTCACGTGACGCCATCTCAAGATGCTGTCTAGAACCAGCGGGGATGTTCATTTCATACAGAGAGGGGAGCAGTCGGCCAGAGGCAGAGGAGAGAAGGAAGGCCTTGAGTCGAAGAATATGGCAGGGAGTCAACGGCACGGATGGCTTTGGGGAAGGGAATTCCAGACTACAGGGGCCAGCATTGGAGAGGCAGTCATCTGTCATAATTTGTAGCTGCAAGGTTAGCATCAGGCAACCGGTGTTCTATACATTTGTATGGGCACACAGGAAAGGCCGTGTGGCTGGTGGCACAAAACACGTCAAGCGATTTTTATTTCCCCCATTTACTTTTATGACTTTAGATGACAAACTCGGGGAAAACACCTCTCAGCGTGCGTGTTTGTGTGGAATCACCCAATGCGGCCTCATTCCGGCCCGACGGGCACAAGCGCGCGAGCGTTCCACTTGGGACGCTTGGTTCAGAGCGGAGGGTGCCGAGTCACGGCTATCGATGTGGAGGGGGACGCTGTCACCGCGGTGCGATGGTTGGCCGTGCGCCGGACTCGCAATCCGGGGGGTCGCCGCTTTGGTTCGGTTCGATCTCCCGGCGTGGCAGTTGAAACGATCGGAAAGTTTCTCAAACCCCGTCCGCCCGGCAGCATAAATTGGCACGACTGCAGTTAGTCGATCGGCAGGTTGCGTGTGGTGGGGTAAGGTGTGGGGTACACTACCTCTTCCAAGGTGTCTGGCCAGAGTTGAAGAAGAGACCAAAAACCCTCTAGAGAGGCTCACTACAACGTGCTCCAGTGCTCTCAGCACCTGGCAAGCCCTGGTGGTTCACCCATCGTGAAAAATTAAATACATGTTGTCCAATCTACATCATTAGACCTCCTTTGCCAGTACCAAAATATAAGAATAGTCACATGTTCATCATAGAAATACTCTTTGCTCCGTTTCACAGAATGGAGTAACATTGACCGTGAGCAGCACACACTGTGATTGGCTTTAGAAGTCACATGTTTATCATATAAATACTCTTTGCTCCGTTTCACAGAATGGAGTAACATTGACCGTGAGCAGTACACACTGTGATTGGCTTTAGAAGTCACATGTTCATCATAGAAATACTCTTTGCTCCGTTTCACAGAATGGAGTAACATTGACCGTGAGCAGCACACACTGTGATTGGCTTTAGAAGTCACATGTTTATCATATAAATACTCTTTGCTCCGTTTCACAGAATGGAGTAACATTGACCGTGAGCAGCACACACTGTGATTGGCTTTGGAAGTCACGTGTTCACCATAGAAATACTCTTTGCTCCGTTTCACAGAATGGAGTAACATTGACCGTGAGCAGTACACACTGTGATTGGCTTTAGAAGTCACATGTTCATCATAGAAATACTCTTTGCTCCGTTTCACAGAATGGAGTAACATTGACCGTGAGCAGCACACACTGTGATTGGCTTTAGAAGTCACGTGTTCATCATAGAAATACTCTTTGCTCCGTTTCACAGAATGGAGTAACATTGACCGTGAGCAGCACACACTGTGATTGGCTTTAGAAGTCACATGTTCATCATAGAAATACAAGAATGTTGTATTGTTTTTAATCGGGAATGTCGTGCAACATTTGAATGACGCAGCAGAGGTACCTGCATATATAAAATTATACCGTGGTACTTCCACTTTAGAAGTGGCTGCGTGATGATGTTTCTTTTTACAATTGAGCTTCGTGGCACAATGCGTCACGGCGTGTCTCACCTGTGACATTACGAAATATATACGTCGCTCGCTAACTTTGGGTTCAACACGAAGGATTTCGCGACCAATATCATCCATAATAGAGGTTTTTTGGGTGAGATCGCGTAAATATATAAATGTGCCGTCAAAACCCGCCACCACCCGACACAGCCAACTAGTAAGGGTTGTCACGTAAACAGAACAAGTTCAAAGGGCTCGCATAATGCGCGTAATGTATGTTGACTCAGTAATCCCCCCCACCCACCCCCCACTTTGCGCAAGAGCACAGAAGCGTGGTCACCACATCTACGTCTCTCTATAAGGAACGAAACAGGTGGACTTCTCCACAAATCTGGCTGTCGCCTGATGAAGCTAGTTGTAATTACTGGCGAAACGTCGTACTCAGATTGTAAATGTTGTGGCTTGGCTCTCCAACACACCGGTTAGTGCTGCACTAGTGACGAATTGGCAAGTTCTGTTTACGTGACAACCCTTACTAGTTGGCTGTGTCGGGTGGTGGCGGCGGGTTTTAACGACACCTTTATATATTTACGCGATCTCACCCAAAAAAACCTCTCTATTATCGATAACTTTGGGTGTTCCCAGTGTTCGCTGAACATTTCTTCCATAAAACGGATTCACGTGGATGTGTTTTTTTGAAGAAAATTTTATTTTTTGAACACTTTTACTTACTTCGTTATTTTATACATATAAACAAAGTTATTTTGACGCTGGTTTGCAGGGTTTTTTCCCCCAATCTAAAATAAGGCACAATCAATGTTGGGTTATTTACCCGGGTGTTTGGACCCAGAAGCTGTTATTGCAACAGTGGCTACAAGGGTTCCCTTTTATTAACTCTAAGAGGCCAGTAAATTCCACCGTAAACATCTCATTTGCCACCACGCACAAGAAACACCATTTATTTCGCACTCGACTGCGGCGATTCATTTGGCGACGCGATATAAACCTTGGGAAGAAACGTGAGTTGTCGTGCGACTGTGGCATTGTACAATATGTAACGCTTGGCAGGCACGTCCGCTAGGCCGTGGGCGATTGACGCGGCCCAGCTGCAGTGCGTTCGCCGCTCGTTGCAGGAGTAAATTGATAACAAATAATTAAACTTTATAGAGCGCCCTTAAACAATCGTTCTCAGGGCGTGAAACAAAAAAAAAGTTCACGGTTCACCAATCCAGCAACCGCCCTGGTTATTACCGCAGCGTGTATTAACCACGGTAATACTACGCGCAGTCTGCTTCGCAACGGACACTAAAGATCCCCTTGATGTAATTCGCGAGAGTAGGCCATTTGTGGGCAAGAGTCAGGATTCACATTTGCCCAAATACGAAAATTACTCAATTGAGACTATACAACCAGCAGCAATCATAGACCTCCCGGCCCCGAATGGAAGACTTTAAAATGAAACTCGTTCCTGGTCTCTTGAGTTCTCACCTGGTTAAACAAAATAAACTTGAAACTTTAAATACACAAACTCCTTCATTTTTGTACCTCCCAACTCCCAAAGCAAGAGAGCAAATAAATACATCAATTTGCCAGTCTGGCAGCAAGAGGCAGCAGCACACTGTTAAATGTTCCTTAAGTGACAAAGCACTGCTATCCTGCAACCTCCAGGCTGCATCTGCAGCTGTCTGAGCTACGTTCACCTTGAGCCTAGACGTCAAAAAAGACCCCAGAGGAGTGAAAGGATAAATCAAATTGTTTTTTAAAGCAACATGTTATAAATGATTTTCCCTGGCGCGATGAAAACATCTCGTGCGTCGACGCTCGATGGATCGCCGCATTGCAGGACCGTGAGAAGTGGCGACGGCTACGGGGAGGGAGGCTTTCATCCAGAAGTAGATCGACCAAGGTTGATGACGACGACGATGATGATGATGATGAAAACCTCACGACCGTGGCGGCGGTGGTGGCGGTGGTGGCGGCGGATCACTTGCGACGCGACGCGCACAAATTAGTCACCCGAGCCGACCGACCGCCTCGTAAATATCCCCCTTCACTCAGGGAGCACTCGGCAGGACTCGTTAGAAAGAGACCGGTCTGTTTCTCCGAATACTGAGGAACTCCATTGATGGGCGAATGTAAAAACGACGGTTGGCAAACGCACTTCGAGTGAAAAAAAAAAATCTGCTCTTGAGGCTAATTGCAAAAAAAAAAATCGTTGAAATAATAAATCAATTTAAAGGATTATTGTGCATAAAAGTGCCGTGTTGACTCCTTGTTTGCTTGTTTGTCCTCTTCCAACAGTTTTCCGGTCAACATGTCCTCTAGAAATTAAGGGCTTCATTTCAGCTGCGTCTGTGGCTCGGACAAATATTTCCGCACCCAGCACACCGCGTCCAGTATACCGCTGAGTGTACCTCTCACTCACAGCCGTGGCTGCTCGTGAACGTGCCGACCCCAGTAAAACCAGCGACCCGGAAAGACATTCAGTGGTGAGAAACGAAGCCGCGTGAACGATGCACGGCGAGCAGACAACTCCGCTAGCCCCCCCCAGCTCCCGACTGCGATGTCCCAGCCTAGCGTCCAGTCAAAGTCACTTCCCGCTCAAATGAGCATTGAAAGCAATGGCGCTCATCATCTCCCGTTTACAACCATGAGGTGGTGGTGGAAACTCCGCATTCCTTGTCACCGGGTCGAGCCTCATCCATAGGGCAGTGAATCCTAACCTGGGGTACACCCGCCCCCTGTGGATGCGAAATGCCCTTTCTGGGGGTGCTAGGCGTGTCAGATTTGGTTTTAGAAGGTAAATCATCGAAACACAAGTTAGGCAGGAGCACGTAAGTACAACTACGTTGTTACATCGAACCTCTACGTTTATTCAAATGATTTATTGTTTCAACGATTCAGAACCAAAGGGGTGCAAAGCTGCACTAAAGGTTAACAACCACTTCCACACTGTGGTATGCACACCTCCGATTGGCACGGATGGCCTACATACGGTGTGATAAAAGTTCAAACGTACACACGTGCATATTCACCGAATTGACTCCGAAGGGATGATGGGACCGACGGCAACACCCAACCAGGAGTTGAACTCGCAACCTTCCGATTACGAGCCGCTTCGCTCTGCCGCTGGAGCCACACGGCTGGTTAAAGCCTCGGTCGTAACAGATGAATACGCATGATAAGCTAATGTAAATGTATTATTTATGTTTACTTGTGGAGGTTTGTTTTAAATGCAGCATCAAGGAGCCCTTAGACACGGGGAGAGAGAGAGAGAGCGATGGTGGCTGATGCCAAGGAGAGACTGAGTTAAGCATCATTCGCGGAGCATTTGTAACACAATATTGCAGCTGTAGATGATTTCACCCGGGGGACGGAGGGGAAGAGATACATCGGGAAGAAACGGGTGCCAAGAATATCTGATTTGGCTGCAGATTTATAGGTTAATTGCGTTTATAAAGGCAAGACCCAGAGAAGGGCACGGGGATGGGTGTCGGTAAATCCCTGCAGATGCTACTCCACAACCACATGGACCGACCGTGATTAACGAGAGAACGGCGAACATCGTTAGAATTCCGTTGCTACGGGCAATTTACAGTCACTCGCACTGAGCTTATTACCCAGCATTGCAGGCTATTATTCGATCCAGAATAACTTTGTCAGGAAGCAACTGATTAAGCCGAACTTTTACACTGACGCTGCAGGTTAATTTTGAAAAAAGTGTGGAGGGGGGGGGGCGATGGTTGCCCTTAAGGTAAGATAAATTATGTCAGTCAGATGAAAGGCATCACGGTGATGTTATTACGTCCTCCAAGAAAGCTAAGCCTCAAACACTGCGTAGGAATGTGGAGAAAGTGTACTCAAGGATACGAGGAGCGGCTGCTATTTTACTGAAGTCGTGGGAGGATATGGAATCGGAGTAACTGGAGGAATCGCATGCGCAGAAGGAGGTGACACCCAACACTGCAATTTCCTGATCACCTACGACACCCGGCAAGCCCTCGTGATCCACCCGCCCAAGTACTATCCAGGCTTAAACCTGCTTAGCGTCTCAGATCCCACGAGATTGGGTACGTTGAGCGTGATTTGTTATAAGATATGCATGGGACCAAGAGCATAACCCTGGTCATCGATCATATTTATGGGTGGCGAGGAATGACTGAAATGCGATTGTGTGCCAGAGATGTAATTTATATTTAAGTGGATGGTGTTGCGTCCGCACAGTGGGACAGAGTTCCAGGCGATCAGTGCAGCTGCGGAAAAACGACACTTAGCCAGGACGTCATTTTGTGCGATGTCCTTTCACGTACAGGCCACATCGAATAAAGTCTCGAACATCCCTCTTTCGGATGCTCGAAATAGTTGGGCATATGCGAGACACCACTATAAACTATGTTTATATGAACACAAACATGCCCCTACACAAGCAACTACACTAATAAGGCATGCAACTATTTAAAAAAAAAGTGCTTTGAAGTCAAAATTTTCTTTGAAGTGAAAGTCGCTTTGAAGTCAATGTATCAAGAGTTTTCAGTGCATTCACTCAACGTTATTAAGTGAATTTATCAAAGCATTTTGAGTTAATCCGTGTGGACACAATGCCTTACAGTGCTTCGTATTGCTCACGAGCATGGGCGCTCATACATTCCACTATCACAGAGGCAATGAAAACGCATGGGCTCTGCAATATTGACACTCCATCATTGTTAAGGCATTCTTCATGTGTGCACAAACTGACTATCACAATTTTTCTTTTATTTTACCAGGTAAGGCCCACTGGAGCCTTATGTAGCCTTTTTTCAGAAGCGACCTGGCCACAAATGATAGCTAAACGAAGTTGGTCATCATGTGGAAATGTATAGCAGCCAAATATTCTAAGCGCATGTTGATTCTAAATGTGGAGGGAAAAAACGGAGGACCTGGAGAAATATCCACTCAACCATGGGGAGAAAGAGACATGCAAACTCCAAATACACAGGTGTCAGGGTCGGGATCGAACCCACAACCTCCTGTATACCAGGCGAGCGAGTTAACAACTCACTGCAACAGCTCTGGCCACATGACTGTGTCTTCACTTTGTAAAGCTAGTTTCTGCTGTGACCATGGTCCACATCAGAACATCAACAAGCCGATAAGCGCATCTCCTTCATAAATGAAAAAAATTAAGACACAAGCCACAGTTCGATTGTAGCCATTCAACCCAAACTCTGGGCCATATAGAAAACCCACTGTAGCCTGCGCTCCTTCAACGGAGAAGGAGGAATAGCAAAACAACACGGACTCTCTCCTGAAGCCCTCTCGTCGTGGCTAACAAACCTCGACATTGGGTATTTAGCTGCTCATCAGTTTGCCATACACAAGAATAGAATAGCTGGGCATAATCTCCGAATGCCCTGCTGCTGGGCAGCGATGCATGTGTGTCTGTGGGGAGTGCGGCTGCGATCTCACTGTTGTGGATGAGAAGATGCCGCTGCAGGGAGAAGGGCGTGCGGAAGAGGGCCTTGCATTCCTCGCACTGGAAGGGCCGCTCCTCCGAATGCGTCTTGCCGGGAACGTGGAGAGGTAAATAAAAAAAAACAGCGGACAAACAAAAAACATTTTGTAAAATAAGTCGGAACAAATGGCGTGGTCACGTCCGTACGTATATTGAAATTATTTCGCACCGTACGTAGCCAACCGTGCTAATCGGAGGTACAGCGGTTGAAACGATGTACAACCGTACACGCGTGCAAGGAATGCAATAGTGGTTGTCAGTTGCGGTCGCCATCAAATATGCGCCCTGCTGACTGAGTGTACTGACAATTATAGATGCCACAGGTATTTACTGGGAAAGCTGTTCAACATATGTACGTGCTCAAAATAATTGTCGGTAAAAACATCACGTTATTTAATTCATGAAAAAACACGTAAATATACTTTGTAAAAAAAAATTATTACCGAAAAACCGCGAAGAGGTTTTCATAATTGTTCATGTTGTTTATTACTGGGGTGCCATGGTGGCGAGATGTTAACTACCTCGCCTGGCACACACAAGGTCATGGGTTCGATCCCAACTCTGACGCCTGTAAATTTGGAGTTTGCAAGTTCTCCATGGTTGTGTGGATTTTTCTCCGTTGTTTCCCTCCACATTTAGAAACACGCGTTTAGAGTACTTGGCTGCTACAAATGTCGACATGATAAGCTGCTTTGCTGAGCGATTAGTTGTGGCCATGTCGCTTCTGAAAAAGAGCTATATAGCTCAGTGGGCCTTACCTGGTAAGATAATCGTTTTTTTTTTAGTTTTCAACATAGTTGCACGCTGCTGACGAGACTCAAGTAAAGTAAAAAAAAAACACTGGTCCAGTGTTCGCCGCGCATAATTAAATCATCATCAATCCACTGCTGGATAAAGGCCCTTCCCAGGCGCTTACGATCACGCGTCGTAACAATCCACGCAGCACCTGCGCACGAACTGATTTCATCGCTCCACATTCCAATCCTTCTAGTCATGACATGTCCTGCTTCTCTTAACATATTGAATGATGTCATTAAACCTGCACATGTTCTCTCACCCACGTAATCACACGCTGCTGGCACACAGTGGTCTGGCAGAGCTCTACAGTTAACTGACCAATTGTTCGTTTGTTTTGTCGATGAAACGGAGCCCTTAGCTGTATTTGTTGACGCTACATTAGCCAGATAGAACGTTTCCTGCACTCACCAATGTTCTGGGTTAGACTTTAGTTTCACTTTTGTAAAGCAAGGGGGGTGGGGGAGGTGAGCGCTGATGGAGTGGTTAGTGCACTGCGCTTTTGAACCCAGCAACATGAGTTTGATTCCCGGCCATGGCTCCAAACAGCAGCGAGTGATATCTGAACAGATTCTGAGCACCCTCATCTCGAACGCACATACTGACCAGCGTGGTGAAGTATGGTGGAACAAGACTCATGATCGACAAGGTGTGGGAGGAAATTCTTCTAGCAGTGGACTGATAAACGACTGGGTATTATTGGTATCATTATTCAAGCCAATAATAAGGATTTACATTTATACTGGCGATTGCTTAACCGATTCCCATTCCAATGACATATGTGTACGTCAATGTTGTTCTTACGGTTCCGTTCCTCCAAAGAAAAACTCTGACGTACACGCACGTCATCGGAACGGATTCGGAAGAAAGAAGAAAAGAAAATCACTTTAATGGTACCGAGGCTCCCACAAGGCCACGCGGGAGGATGTGTGGCACAGTTTGGCGCGTGCTATCATAGAGTGCGGTCGTGTCGCTACAGCTCTCTGCGGTTGAGTAAAATGTATTCAAAAGCAACGGCGTTACTACGCCTCCCGAAATAAAGTTAACGCTGAGCCTCTTGCGCTGTCTAGGATTCAGCGGTGAACAGGAAACCCACCCTACAACTTGCAGACGTCTTGGAACGATGGGAAAGGGTTAATTGCAGCAGCGAGGGGCTGCGTCCTCTCCACGGCGGAGAGATAATGATGAGACGCGGTTCTCCACTCGCGACGGGACCCCTTGACAGGATCCCTCCCTCCAACAGAACGACGCCGCACCCCAAACAGGAGCACAGCGTTGGTTTTCCAGGGCGGTTTTGGTCTCAAGTTCCACGTGGAGTGAAGTTAACCTTTCCTCGTCTCTCTCCTCTCCTGCTATTATCACGTGGTATCTTTCTCCCTCCCCACCACAACATCCATCGCGCCAGCTCTTCTCTAATTTTATCGTCGCAAAATAATCGTGCTGCGTACCGTGTTGGGGTTTTTTGTCACCTAACGAACCAGGAGCCATGTCTAACAGAGAGGGCCGTTGCCCAAGAGCGTCCGGCAGTTCATCGCCAATGGCTCTGCTGATGAAGACGTTGAATGTCGATTCCGGTCCGGAGTTTGCTTGTGTTTTAAGCCTGATGCTGGCCGAAATTATGCACTCTCAGAAGGTCCTGTGGCTGATGGGAGGTGTAAAAAATATACACCCTTTTTTATTTCCTGGACACAAACATTGGAAGGATTGATCCTCATATTTTTATACCACTGATGGGGAATGCAGTGGGTTATGTTGATATGCTCGCTGTCTCCCCACTTGCTGTATGCTTTGGTTGCTGTGCTGTTGCTGAAAAGGATGAACAAAATGGGACATGGCATCTAAATCCCCAGAGAAACCCCTCCTCCCTGCACTGGTAAACAAGGGCTTCTCGAACACATAACACTCGCAGATTTCAAATCCCAAGCAATGTTGTCCGGACAATTCAAGGTTTTAGGGGTAAGTCAGCTGCTCTGACAGTTGTCTTAAATCCCTGCAGAGTCTGGTTTACGTTGCTGTAAAGATAATGTGGCTGCTTGAATGCCCATTGTGTGACTACTTTAGTTTGTGGCTTTAAATTAACCACATAGCCACGGTAACCATATGGTGTTGCTGTTCCAACTAAGACACATACAAAAAAAACGGTGGTTTGCATTCAAGCTGTGTTTGCTTTACCCAAATTGTATCGAGGCATTTGTGAAATTCCTGCCACTTGACCAAAGGCATGTGGTGCAACAGGAGGGGTTCACGTGGCTGACCAGGACATCGAGACAGCAGCGTCCCCTGGCTAAGCCATGCTATACAGACACACTAAGTGGTCTTCACACCAAAAACCCTTCCTCTAATAACATGGCAAAGCAGAGACTGACCAAACAAGGCCACAAAACTGCTCACCAATACGTAGAACCTGCACATTTTTACGTAAAATGACACGTCACTAAACTACATCAATTAAACTCTTTGGTTCTTTTGGTAAAGTCACGTAGATGAAAAATAATAATAATAAAATGAAAATAACTAAATTAAATCACGACGTTTCGGGCGCAACACAAGCGTCCGGCATCAGGTGGGAAGCTTGTGTTGCGAAAACTTCAAATCTACATCAATTATTACAAAAAAAAATTGAACAACGTGCTCACTACACCTTACTTGGTTCTCACCTCGTAGTAGAGGGACGGCGACACGTAACGGCACAATGCCACATTTCTGACTCGCTGGAGACTGTGGAATATGCGGCTACGTGAAGAGGTTGGATTTGTGTTTGCGAGGAAGAGCTTAGCAACCAGTCACGTATGAGCGAGAGGCCACATATATCTTCAATCATCATCATCATTCTCCGCGAACTATCCATTGCTGAATGAAGACCTCCCAAAGTTATACACCATCTCTCCACTGTCTCCTGATGCAACGGTCCATCTTGGTTTTGTACCCGAGCTGATGAAGCTGATTAGGCCACAAAGACAAAGACCCCACCCGTATAGCCTTAACAAACTGTTGGGGCAAGTGCTGTTAGCGAGCACCTATGAAGGCTGGGACGGCACACGAGGGGGTGGGTGGCCAACACCACGCCGGGCCACTTTTATCTCCCAAGTGACGATGTTTAGACACCGCACCATGTACTCAATTGAGGCAGAGTCAGATAATCGTCACCGGTGTTGGCCGTGAGCGGGAATCGAACTCGAGTCGCTGGGTTCGTAGCGCAGCGCGCTAACCGCTACACCACCCCTCCCCACGCACACTCACAATACAAGATCAAGATGCCATCATAGGCCTAAGCCACCACCGCACCGCACCAACGTTGTCTACTGTCCACCAGATTCCGCAGCTGCTGCTGCTGCACGGTAGACACGCAGCGACCTCCATGCCCTGCCCCGACAGTCTCCCACCGTCCGCTCTGAGCTCTTTCCCTCGGTCGCCACACTCGTGGAAACAATAAGAACATGGCTTCACAATATCGCTGTGGGTGGCTTTCAAACGTGGCAATAAGGTTCTGACGCAGCGCACAATGACCACGCTGGCGAGCTTTTGACGCGGATTTGGATTTTGCCACCAATGTTACGATTAGCAATTCTTGGTTCTCAATTAGCTCCAAAAAAAATTCCTCCACATTGCCAACGTTTTGTCTGTGTGCTTTGTGGTGTAGAAAGACGTTTTATGAATATAATGGGATTCATAATATTACGAACAAAGATGTCACGTGAACAAACTTGCCAATTTATGACTACAAACGATTCCATTGGGGTCTTCTTCCCTGTCCCCTTTACAGTGTCCGATGAGCTTTTCCGTATTTTTACCACGGTAAACTGCCCAGCGGGCGAGGCTAGCGAACCATCCACCGCGTTAATACTGAGCTCTGATGCAAGTGCGGTGACAGAAGCAGTAGTTGGCATGAATATTGCGGCTGAATGCAAAGACAACGCCTCGCTCTATGCGACCGAGGACACTGCACGAAAGGGAATATAACATGAACTATAAACTGAACTGTAAACTACTTTTTATGATTATTACCAATGTAAGGTTTTGCTGAAAATAAGTTTGGAAGTCGATCACGGCCGAGACAGCGTTTTGCGACAGTTTGATTGCAATTTTCTTTTTTTTAACAAATTAAGCTTTTAAAATGGTTAACAGATGCCACAGGTATATGGGTGGTAAGCAGCAGAAAAGTTGTACCTTCACGCTGTCACAATTACACAGACAGCATGAGTGCTATTACGTATATAAAAAATAAAACGCAGGCATCTAATTTGCCAACGTTT